AAAATTACTGTTGTGCAGGGCAATCAAAAAGACATAGATTGGGTAGAGATAAGTGTGTGGGAGGAGTTGTAGTGCCTATGCACTGCAATAGTTAAGTGCTGCTGGGCTGGGTGGGCAACTGAGATGCAGAGCCTGTCAGAAATGCAGATAAAGTGCCAAGCAAACAAATTTTGATCATGTATGTAAGGGTACTGCAACTGCCATAACTTCAGGCATGGGTCATTAAGTCTTTTTTTTCAACACTGTTATAATTTGGAATGATTATTGAATGAATAGCTGTAGGTCAAGGATTACCTGTATTACAACATTTCCAACATTCCAGCCTCTGTTTAAACATCTCAGCCATCTCCCTAGAGGGTCTGCTAGGATTTTTTTATTGCTAGTATTTTTTTCTAATATTCTACAAAAATTAAATTCCTTATTGTTAACTGCTTCTTGTCCACGGGAGCATGCTGGCTGAGCAGTTAAAGATGCTGAGCTTGTCAGTTGGAGAGTTGACAGCCAGGGTTCGATAACTAAGCTCTGTTCAACAGGGTGAGCTCCAGTTACTTGCCCCAGCTCCTGTCAACCTAGCAATTCGAAATCATGCAAATACAAGTAGATTAATAGGAACCACTTCGGTGGGAAGGTAACAGTGTTCTGTGCATCTTTGATATGTAGCCATGCTGGCCACATGACTATGAAAATTGTCTTTGGACAATGCTGGCTCCCTCAGCCTAGAAAGAGAGATGAGCACCATGGCCTAGAATCAGACATGGCTGACAGTGAAACCTTTACTTTTACCTTTTGCTTCTTGTCCTGGAACAATTCTGAATAATTCTGCCCTGTCTGCTATATGACATCCCCCTGAAGTGAATATCAAGACTCTCCGTAGTCTTTTCTTTTCAAGACTACACATACTTAATGCCTTCAAATATTCTTATTAAGTTTTTCTTCAAGGTCTTGTAACATTTTGATTGCTGTTCATTGAAGAGATTCCAGTTTGCTCATGTCCTTTTTCAAATGTGGTGCCCACTGATGATTTTACAGTTTGAGTAATGAAATGTCAGCAAGAAAACAATGAAGCTCAGAGAGGACCAAAGCCCCTTCATTTTAAACCTGAGCTACAAATATTCTCCTTTATTGGATTTATATGTTTGCTTGCTCCAGACTCAGGCCGTTTTATCTGACTTTTGCCTTGATGGCAACTCTTCCTCCCATTTCTGAAAACCTTTGCCTCTGCTCCCTATAGACAGACTCCAAGGATATGAGATAACTTGAGATTGTCACACAAATCACTCTACCATCATTTATTTTCTCGTCCTAGTGCCTCCTCTCCTCTACCAGTAGAATGGCAGCATTCAGTTTTAGGATGAGATTGCCCACCATCATCTGCTTTTCATTTCCCACTTACCTTGCTTTTCTCTCCTCCTATGTATCACATTGTGGATACAGCTAATGACTGTTCATACAGCAGAGATGGTTCCGGCCAGTACACACCAGTATGGGTGTACTGGGGCCAGAAATTTGCCATACTTTTGCATACCCGTTCCATGGTGGCGTAACCCTGGCTTGCCCCCATTTGCAAGGCACTTCTCAAAGAGAAGGAAGCGAGGGTGGGGCTTCTTCAGAGAACCTGAGGCAAGATCGGTGTTGAAGCCCTCTCTGAATTAGCTGGAAAAGGTATGTGTGGTTCAGAGGAAGGAGGGAGGAATTCAAACTTCATCCTCCTGGTGCGGTGCGGGGCTTTGGGCAAAGGCTGGAGGGAAGGGCCCTGGCTCGCTCACGCTCTCTCCCTCACTCTCTCCCTCCCTTCTGTAGTTTGATGCAGCCTGCAGTCAGTGAAACTGGATGCTAGTGAGGGCTGGCTTTTTGCATAGCTTTATCCAGCTGTGTGTGTGTGGAAAATGGATGGGGGCCTGGGGAGGAAGTCATTCCCTTCCCCCGACAGCTGGATAAAGTTATGCAAAAATCCAGCCCAGCTTCACTGACTACAGGTTTGAAAAAGCAATGTGGCTCCACCTGAAATCAAACCAGACTGGGGAGGGAGAGCATGAGTGAGCACTGAGGAGACCACAGAAGAAGGGAAGCCAGGCAAAGGGGCATGGTGTAGCACACATACTTTGCCCCAGCCCCATTCTTTCAGAAAGTGCTGATCAGCTCCCCTCCGGTTTCTCTGCCTTTCCTTTCACCTCAGCCTGCCAGCAGGAGGTGAGTGGGTGGGATTTATTGCATTCCAGGAATTTCCCACCCAGACAGCACACTGCATTTGCAATGGGGGAGGTGTTTGGGGAAGACAGCGAGGAAATGGGAGGGATGGCAAAGGATCTGCTTTCAAGCCATTGGGGGAGATGCCCAATCCAACTTCTGTGTGTGTGTGCTATGTTTGAGAAAATAAGAGAGAGCATAGGAGATATCCAATCCAACTTCTGTTTGTGTGTGTGTGCCATGTTTGAGAGAGAGTGAGAGAGGGAAGGAGGTAGGAGAGAGATACCCAATTCAACTTCTCTCTCTGTGTGTGTTGTGTTGAGAGGCAGTGAGAGAGGGAAGGGGGTAGGAGAGAGATACCCAATCCAACTTCTGTGTGAATGTGCTGTGTTTGAGAGGGAGTGAGAGAGGGAAGGGGGTAGGAGAGATATATCCAATCCAACTTCTGTGTATGTGTTTGAGAGAGTGAGAGAGGAGGGAGAGGATGGAGGGAGGGAGAGAGGGAGGAAGGAGGGGAAGGGAGAAAGAAAGAGAAAGAAAAAGAAAGGTGGAAACTTCTTTCCAAAGGACAAAAACAAATGTTGTCACTTTAAATCGGAACTGAGCATGTCTTCCTGTGGAATTCTGTGAGTTGAAGTCCACAAGTCTTAATGCTTATAACTTTAAATTGAAGCTTTAAATTGAAAAGATGCAGGGAACAACAAATTGATTATATGGTTATATGTGATATGGTTTTATTTTTTTAAAATATTTTTTTTATTTTCAAACAAACACAAACACACAAAACATATAACATAAAAACCTCTTTAATTGCATACAGTGTGTCGATTGGTTACAAGGTATTTCTGTGTCCTTTTCATAGTTATCGCTTGAGCTTTATCAAAAATCACATATTGTCAATCAAATATCTTTGTATACATTATTATTATACTTCATTTGT